AGTGCCAGGAACCTGTGAAATAGAGGGGCTATCCTAAAGCATAGGTAGGTTGAATACTGTTCTCTGAGGCTACAGCCATTTTACTTAAACAAATTATGTGAAAGAGAAAACCTTATTTGTGAGGAAATCACCACATTATTAGAATGCTGTTTGGCTGACACAGTTATATATCTCCTGGATGTTTCAATATGCAGATACCCTTCCATGATAGCAAAACATAGTACACCTCTCCACTGGTCTGCAAAGATTATGCTTGGGGATGATATGTAAGTTAGTTTGGGCTACCCAGATATTGGGTATTTGTCTAATTTTCCATATTTTCCCTTCAAATCTCTCATCTACTCTATGGCAGGTACATTCCCATTTATCAGTACAAACTGAACAACATTAGTAATTGCTGTATTCTTGCTTGCTGTATTCTCTCTTGAAAAGCCTTGATAGTTCTAAGTACATCCCTTTCTTCACCTGCAGTATAACCGCATTAATCGTCTGTATCAAGCTGCGGAGATATTCCTGCTACAGATTATCGAAATGGGTTCCTGGGTTGGAATTGTCACATTCCAATCTACAGCACAAATTACATGTAATCTACAACAAATAGTCAGTGAGAATATACGCCAGGTTCTTATCAAATGCCTGCCTACATCAGCTGATGGAGGAACTAACATCTGCGCAGGAGTACGCAAAGGATTTGAGGTGAAGGAGAACTTGTGGGGAATGTGTCCTGGAATGCCGTGATAATGAAATGGAACTAGGAGGAGAATAGTGAGTAGGAGTAGGGAGCTGATATCACCTCGGTGTACAGCCGTACTGAGACTATGACTGAAATACTGTCTCTGGTTCTGGTGGCCACATTTCAGAGAGGATGTTGGGGAAACGGGAGGGGTTCAGAAAGACAGTTACAAGAACAATTACATGTTTGGAAAATGTGTTTTATAGTAAGAGACTTAGGAAGCTCTATCAAGTTAGGCTCTGAAACTACTCCTATTGAACTAAGAAATTAACAAGGCCCTGCTATGTTTATACTAGCAAAAAAATTAAGAAAAATCTTACAAAAATACTTTGCCGGAATCTCAAGGCGTTGTGCAGAAGATCAAAATATAGAAAATCCAAATTTTATTCATTTTAACATTGGTTTAAGCATGGTTTTATTCTGAAAAGGGGTTATGTAAAATGGCACCTTCATGATCCATGATTTCTCAAGTTACTTTCCAGAACGGAACTGCATTAAAGATAATTTTCCATAGTTTCAATAGGTATGGACAGGATTCCACATGCCCTGTGCATTTGCTGTCATTGGCAGCAGGACCTGGAGTGGGGGCTGGCAGACACACGTTACTACTACTTAGAATGCTGTAACGAGTGTGCTACCCTCAGACACCTCTCCCCTGAACCATCCCTGTACAGGCATTGTAATTCAGACACCTTCAATTCAGTTGTTGCCACATGACACAGCCTCCTACACCAACAAAATTCACAATTGTAAGGAATATATTTTGCCTTACACTAGCACTTTAGGAATTTCTCTTGATGTAGACGCTGCCTGTGTTAGAGCAGCTAACATTTACAATAAAGTCCTATTGCTAATACCTGAAATGTTCTTCTCAATTCAGGTGATTAAACAAAAATACTCTAATCTCGATGGTTCTGAAATTGTACTGCTGACAGATGGAGAGGATTCAGGTATGAGCAATTGCCTTACGGAGGTGAAAAACAGTGGATCGATCATTCACACCATTGCCTTGGGGCCAAGTGCTGCTCCAGAACTAGAACAATTTTCAGACATGACAGGTAAGTAAGTTTCTAAACTAATCCTGCTTTTGGCATGCACACCTTAAGCATGAAATGTAAAACTAGAGTGGTTTACAGCTTGTAATATGAAAAGAAAATAAGGTCAACTAATTCCAGTCGTATGTACAGAATGTTTATTTTCAGCTGAATAAACACAACAATATTGGGAGCAATTGTTTATCTTTATCTGTTCTTGCATTAAAAAAACCTGTATCCTGATAATAGCGAGGTCTGATAATTATATTACTGGCGGATGTTCCTCTAAACAAAAAGATAAGCTCAGTGTTTAAATGATTAACAGTTTATTTCTGATGTTTACATAGCAGTGATATGCAAACCTATTAATGTCCTAAGTAGTTAAATAATGACCAACTCACAAACAGTCACAGCTGGAGGGCTCTAGCTGAGGAGTCAGCAACCACAGTCTCTATACTTGGAGGCTCAGTCACCTCTGCTTTGAGTTGGAGCTGCACTGTTCCTTTGAACTTCAGCCATTTGAAGGAAAGCCAGATGGGTGCTGGGTGATGCTGCAGTACAGGGCAACTACCATGGGAATTCCATGTGTTGATTTAGAATGTAGCTTTACTCTGAATAGTGACAGGTTTCAGAGTAGCAGCCGTGTTAGTCTGTATCCGCAAAAAGAGAACAGGAGTACTTGTGGCACCTTAGAGACTAACAAATTTATTAGAGCATAAGCTTTCGTGGACTACAGCCCACTTCTCGG